TATATCTCAACTATGGAAAACAATTTAATCGAGAAAATTGTATCCAATCATATTTTTCAAACAGCCCAGAGCCAGTTAACATGATCGATAATAATACCGTTTCAATATCGAAGCTGGAAATATCCTGTAATTGAAAACATATTGAAACGAACGGACCCCTTTTTTTAAACAAACGTAATGTTAAAGGTGCGATAACACTACGCAGTGTCGTAACGCGCTTTTACGCGACGGAGATTTTGAAGAAACTGTTCCAAAAGATGGTGCTGCGCTAAGTTTGAATACTTTTTAGGAGTACCCGTGGGTATCGTAAAATGAGACTAAGGGTTAATTATCCAGGGGATGGGCAGCAGCGTTCCTTGTGAATAAAACATCTTGCAATGCGCTAGCCAATGTGCCTGCCAAGCGCTGTGGGTATGGCAATACCTCTCGAGAAGGGAAGGCCCATGTCCATCAGTGGACCGTTGTGGTGTGGCTGTAAGGGTAAAGGTCAAAAAGGTGATAATACTACACAGTGTTACAATGCGTTTTTACGCGGCAACTTTTTGAAGAAATTAATCCAAAAGACGGCGCTGCGCTAAATTGGAACTCGGTATAACTGCCAAAAATTTACAGCTATTCCGGCAAAGTTTATGGATGCCTCGAAAAACCCATTTTCTAATTTGTTGCCTTGCGAATTTCAGACCTTCACGATTAACTAAATCAATACAATTTTCTTTTGGAATATGTAGCTATTATAACACTTTTTTCTTTGTTTGTTACAGGGGACCAACTTCCACCAGGAAATAACAGCACGCACAATTAACCAAATTATTAAAAAAGAAAAACACCAACACGTTACACCACAAGACTAAAGAACACTAGATAGTTTCTTCCAATAAAAAATAATCTTCCTTCCTAAATGTTAGTGTGTAAGGAGTGTGTAAATAAGTAAAGTGGAGTGTGATGCTGGGTGGGGCTCTCGCTGGGACGTGATCGCATGGACCTGGCCGGTGGACGCGCACCCTTTAACCACTCTAGGTAAGTAATGAATGGCTATATGATGTAAAAAAATCAACTGCAAATATTTTCTGCGGTGAATCAGGCCCATAAAACTGAATAACTTACCCTAAGGAACATAGATCGAAATATGAAAAAAAAAATTGGGCCTCCCATACAAATTGACCTGGCCTGCTGGTATATTTTGTATGGTAGGTCCTAATTTTTTTTTATGCTTCGACCTATGTACCTCGAGGAGAGTTGTTCAGTTTCATGGGCTGGTTCATTTATTTGATGTTATGGGAATCGTGCCTAGGACCTTTAGTCAAATCGGAGTCCCGAATATCGCTCGTTATCTCGAGAGTATGACGCTAGCTTACTCCACTGGTGAGACATAACATAAGACATGCGGCGGAGACGTGAGACGTGCGACATCGCGTCGCTCTTAACCGTTTTATATGGTGCTAACTCCACAGGCGAATTTTAATATATTAGACGGAGACGCAAGACGAGCGCCATCACGACAATTAAACCCGTTTCCATATAAAATTTATGAAACAGAAGCGACGCACGCGAAAATTGCGTCTATAAAATGTATAAAACGCAAGAGACGCCGTCTACTCACATGAGACGCGCGTCGCATCGATGACGGTCAACGATCACCTCCTCTACGAAGATAGCCCATAGTATCATGGAATTAATTAAACTGTCAAAGGAAAGACCCCGATTTGAAGGGATCAAAGCACTAGCGGAAGTTCCTGGGAGTTTGATTGTGTTTTATACAGGGTGTTCGGAAAATTCACACTATACGTGCTCTATGCTCCAGTTTCTATCAGTTTAGTTCGTTAGCGATATTCGTTGTTTCTAGCAAAATCTGTTTCACGCGAAATTGTTAGCACCAATTTGTGTAGATAACGAATCCCCGAAATTCAATGGTATCATTGATTGACTCACCCGAACTGTGAAACATTTGTGCGTATTGAACATTTTCCGAACCAACATTCAATGCGTTTTACTAACGAAAATATAATAAATATTTTTGCATACATACACATATCACGCCTATATCCCTTGCGGGGTAAGCAGAGCGTAAACGGCTGTAAAAACGGCCATTTAGGGTGAGAATCCACCAGAGCTGTGCGAGGTAGCGAGGCGGTGAGCGAGGAAAAAATCCACCAATAGAATCACTTCATTTTCCTAGCCTCGCTCAGCTCAGCTCTGGTGGAATAGGGTTGAGCGAAGCGAGGCCATTCTACATACAAAACAAGCGAGAAATGTGTGCGAGGAATGTGTTGCGAGGAATGTGTAGCGAGGAATGCGTTGCGAGGAATGCGTTGCGAGAAATGTGTTGCGAGGTTTCCACTACATCGCATTCCCCCCGCTCACACATTTCACAGCTTCGCAACGCATCCTCGCTCCGCACAATAATGCGCATTTTCACAGCTCCGCTACGCATCCTCGTACGGCACATTTTACTCGCACAGCTTTGGTGGAAACCCCTACACATTTCCACAGCACAGCTACGCATCCTCGTACGACACATTTTCCTCGCACAGCTCTGGTGGATTCTCACCCTTACACCAAGGCTGACAAATGTTTGAGAGTAATTCAGAATACTGTGTACGTGAGTGTCAGTTTGTAGGCCTGTTGCCTTAAATTGCAATACACATCATCTCTCAAATCCCTTAGTCGTTTCTTACGACACGCACTGAAAATATAATGGGTGATGCTATTCTAAGCCAGCATCACTCGGCATAAAGTAAAGTTTTTGCAACAGCTTTTCCACATTTTGTGAGAGAGCAAAGCTTTTGCAAAGTGGCTTAAAACAACCACACTTTAACAAAGTTTCGGGTACAAATTCTAATTATTCAGTTGTTTCCTACATTCAGTAACATTTCCTACAACAGCGTATCAATTTACCCAAATACGGGATCAACCTATACATACTAGATATTGCAAAACATGTTCAAGTTGGTCCGTCAAAAGGTTTGGTGGTGGTGATCTAAACAATCCCAAAGAAAATACTTAAAACACATAGGCTAACTCAACAAAAGAGACGTAAGACATAACATAGAGTCGTGAGACGCGGGAAATAACGAAGCTTAAAACCGTTTGCATATAAAATGTATGAAACAGAAAAGACAAAGCTGTCTCCCTGTGTAGACGCGCTTCGCATGGATGACGGCTGACGATCACATGTCTGACAGATATCATCTTACGTGATACATGGGACGTATCACGTATTCATTCATGTACATAATATCACACATGACGTGAGATGTTCGACATCGCGACGCTTAAAACTTGAAACCATTTCCATATAAAATGTATGAAACAGAAGAAACAAAGCTAAACACGTGAGACGCGCGTAGCATCGATAACGGCTGACGATCGCTTGTCTGACAGACGTGATCTTACGTCTTACGTTGCACATCTTATCTGTGAAGATAGCCCCTTAAGTATATATAAGCAGGCATATGTATCTCCTTAGTCGTGTCGGCAATCAAGCTTTGAAGTAAGTTTCCACCTCGATGCTCCCGTTTTCCTTATCGCGTCCTCGTTTTGCACGGTCGCATTATATCCATTTATTTACCTCATTTGCTCAGGGAATCTGCTCTACACTGAACGTATGTAGTACGATCATTCTGTTCGGATCTGCCTTCAAGACCCGGACATCAAAAATGAAGCGGGACCTTTCGGAATGGGTTTGGAAACCTTCTGAGATGACACACAAAAAGTCTGCGATTCTTTTGAGTGGGAGAGCCAAAATATCCTGCAAAAACTGACACGTAATCTCATGGAATTGGACTAAAATTGTTGCCTCTTGAATACGTTCTAGCCTTGTCGAGGCAAGGGCTAGCAGTAGCTCTACAACGCAATTATGTGATACCACCATGCTGCTCTGATGATGGTACTTGAAGATGGATCATGGCATCTTAGAATATTTACTAGTAAATATGTTAAGTATAGGCTCATTAGACTCGTCTTGACGTATGCTATTCTTATCTTCTTGTGACGAGAAGCTGAAGGTGCAATTGGTTGGACGGTCGCTGATGGAACCCTGGAATGACTACTAGTAAGAATCGAATAGCAATATCGTGGCTAGAACCCAATCGTAACTCAAAAAACACAAATTCTGAACGCTCCTCAAAGTCAATGTCGACATAATTCCTAAGTAGGAAACGAAAGTTCTGATACCCGTAAACCAACAATACCAGACAGTCACAATGTTGCTGCATATTCATTTTTCCCGTCGACATTGACATTGTAAAAGTTAAGCTTATTACGAAGCCAGGAGTGCAACGTATCACACTCACTCACACGTGTAAGCTACTTAGTGAATAAATACTACTTAGTGAATAAATGCAAACAGATAGTTTCAAAGTTGTTGGAACCTTGACACGCTTGCATTGCACCTAGTTTCATTCTCATCACAATGTCACAATATAGAGAATTTACAGAAGGGCATCTCGTTTCTTTTTCCGATTGTTTATACCTGCACCCTCTAGGGTCACTACTTTTTCTTTCTGAAATGTTTATTGCAATATTTATTGGGATTGTAATGCACTCACAGTGCTATATTATTCTCACAAGTGAAAATAAGAAATAGATAAAATGACATGCATCGACCGGGGATCGGGTAAGTTCTAAATACTTTCTACAGATGTCGCTGGATCGTTGCTTGGAGACGAGCATCAAGAGATAGATAATTTGGCGTTCATCGGCCGTGCATCGATAGCTCAGTGGCAGAGCGGTGGGGCGTTTACCCATGCGGCCCGGGTTCGATCCCCGGTCGATGCATGTCATTTTATCTATTTCTTATTTTCACTTGTGAGAATAATATAGCACTGTGAGTGCATTACAATCCCAATAGATTGATTAAGCAAGCTTCATCATATGGTTTGAATTCCACTCATAATGTGGACTAACCATGTAGTAAGTTCTAAATACTTTCTACAGATGTCGCTGGATCGTCGCTTGGAGACGAGCATCAAGAGATAGAAAATTTGGCGTTCATCGGCCGTGCATCGATAGCTCAGTGGCAGAGCGGTGGGGCGTTTACCCATGCAGCCCGGGTTCGATCCCCAGTCGATGCATGTCATATTTTCTATTTCTTATTTTCACTTGTGAGAATAATATAGCACTGTGAGTGCATTACAATCCCAATAGATTGATTAAGCAAGCTTCATCATATGGTTTGAATTCCACTCATAATGTGGACTAACCATGTAGTAAGTTCTAAATACTTTCTACAGATGTCGCTGGATCGTCGCTTGGAGACGAGCATCAAGAGATAGATAATTTGGCGTTCATCGGCCGTGCATCGATAGCTCAGTGGCAGAGCGGTGGGGCGTTTACCCATGCGGCCCGGGTTCGATCCCCGGTCGATGCAAGTCATTTTATCTATTGCAATATTATGCGACGAACTGACAACATGTCACTATAGGGATACACAGTCTCCTGAATAACTCTCAAAGTTTTGTCTTACAACATGGTGTAATGGATATGAGGTATATACATTACTTACATTATTTAAGCTATAGCAGTTACTTTTAGTTTTTACATTATAGCACTTACACTATAACATACTACAAAAATAACTAGGTATTTGCAATAATTTCGAGTCGTCACTTTGCCGTTCGCCCGCACCAAACGCTGTTGACACTCAACTGTATCCAGTTTGAGGTGGTTTGGTTTTGCGCGTAAACGACGGCGTGTAGGAATATCACTCACATATTCAAACTGGATACAGTTGAGTATCAACTGACGTTTCCTTGTAGACGTCATTATTTTTTTTATGTATTCAAAAAGGTAGCATAGCAGGACTATAGCATACCGGGACCAAGGGTCATCTCTCCTTTGTTCCCACCTGTCCTACTGAGTAGTTCTACGGTAGAACAGGTGGGAACTTTTTTTCGCACTAGTTCTACGGTGGAACAAGTGAGCACATTTTAAGTCCCACTTGTTCTACGTTTTGAAAATATTATTTTTCATGGAAAATTTGCTTAGTGTCGTGAAGTTTTTGTCAAAAATACTAAACACATTCACATTTGAAAGCACATTTTTATTGCAAAAAGTCAGTGTTCCAGAACATAATGTTGAATTCTGATAATGTTGAATCTCAAAATGTTGAAATTCATAATTTAGTGGTGTAGCAACAACATGCAACAAAAATAACAAACGAAATGCTTAATGGACGGATCTCGGCTTGCAGTTTTTTAAAAAGGTTGTAGGCATCGAGCAGAGAGAGGGTTTGTATGAAAAATCGTTGTCTATAAAGTGATTTGTTTTAAAATTTGTGATAAAATAAAGTTAAAATTATTGGATAAGTGTTTCAGCATTTTATAAATTTAGCCGCTAGAGGGGTAAAAAGAGGATTTAAAGTTGGTATAAACTGGGTGTTACAAAACAACCAATAAAACTGAAAGATTTCTTATGAAATGAAATTTCGTGTTCGTGATATAATCTGTTTCAAGTTTTGTGATTTTAGACCATAAAGCTAAAATCATTAAATACGTGTGAAGGGTGTTTTGATTTTTAACCCTTTACGTTTGTATGAAAGTTCGTGTGCTGCCGTCTTAGAATAGCAGTAACCCAATTCTACGCGTAGGTGTCGTAAAAAGCGACTAAGTTACCTATCAAAATTCCCTTAAGTAGCTAGAATCACATGTCTCCTCAGCATTTTCAACATTTTGACCCCTAAACGGGTAAGAAGTTTGTATGAAAATCGTGGATTTTAAATGCGATGTATTTCAAACTTTTTTATCAGACCAAACAGCTAAAACACCGCGAGTGAAACCGCAGGCAAAAAGCTATTATAATATAATTTGACTTTTTGCAATAAAAATGTGCTTTCAAATGTGACTGTGTTTAGAATATTTTGACAAAATACTCCGCGACAAAAAGCAAATTTTCCATGAAAAATAATATTTCTAAAACGTAGAACAAGTGGGACTTAAAATGTGCTCACTTGTTCCACCGTAGAACTAGTGGGAAAAAAAGTTCCCACCTGTTCTACCGTAGAACTACTCAGTAGGACAGGTGGGAACAAAGGCATCTCTATATTCGGCGCCCGCCTATCTTTACTTTGTGGTTCGATTCTCATCACATTGTGGTGCAAAGTTCGCCGGTGCAAAACGAACGGAGCGTAAAAGATAACACAATATGTCACCGTGTGGCTGAACCAAGGTTAAACAGTTGCTGAACAGAGAGACAATTCCGACCCTCTCATGTGCACGAGGCTGATTAAACTTGATGTTGCACGTGTAAACACGGCATTAACAATTCCAATGCTTATTCCAAGTAAAGTCCGTAGCTTTACAAAGCATTGAACACGACACCTTTGAACTTGCATTGAGTGTCGTATTTACGCGTTAACAAGATGCATACGTTCCTGTTAGTAAACTTGATCTTGAAACTGAATAACTTTTCCAGGGACTGCAATGTCTTAGAAGGTCAATCGATTTCTTGTAGTGAAAACAATGAACTGATTTCGTTTTTATAACCTAGTTAATTGTCAAAATAAGATGGATCTGTACTTTAGGGAGCACAGGGAGCGTCTTTGATAGATAAGACAAAAGAAGGCATTGGTCACCAGTTGAAGAGTCGTGATTTTGCATATAAGGCGACCTGAATCGTGATGTCAGTTTAAAAACTGTCGACATTCATCGACTCGGAGTCCTACACTCACTGCAAAAAGTAGACATAAGAATAATACTTTCTAAGTTAGAGCTCCACTATCGCGCGAGTTAATAAGGTCAGGCCGGGAGCGTCCTCTCCAACCCTCAATCTGACGCCACACCAGGGTTTATTGAGAAGTCCGTCTACTCGAAGACGCACACTTCAGAACGTAAACATAAGAATAATACTTTCTAAGTTAGAGCTCTACTATCGAGCGAGTTTATAAGGTCAGTTCTGGAGCGTCATAATCAATCATAATCTCCATCTCTCAAAACTCTCCACACCTCTCAAACTAATGCCACACCAGGGTTTATCGAGTAGTTCGTAGACTCGGTGTCTCACAAATACTCAAAAACAAACAAGTTAATAAGGTCAGGTCGCGCGAGTCCACTCCAACTCTCAAACTAATACCACGCCAGGGTTTATCGAGTAGTTCGTAGACTCGGTGTCTCACAAATACTCAAAAACAAACAGTTAACTATCGAGCAAGTTAATAAGGTCAGGTCGCGCGCGTCCACTCCAACTCTCAAACTAATGCCACGCCAGGGTTTATCGCGTAGTTCGTAGACTCGGTGTCTCACCAATACTGGAAATCAAACTGTACACTATCGAGCGAGTTAATAAGGTCAGCTCGGGAACGTGTACTCCAACTCTCAAACTAATACCACGCCAGGGTTTATAGAGTAGTTCGTAGACTCGGTGTCTCACCAATACTGAAAAACAAACGGTACACTATCGAGCGAGTTAATAAGGTCAGCTCGGGAACGTGTACTCCAACTCTCAAACTAATACCACGCCAGGGTTTATAGAGTAGTTCGTAGACTCGGTGTCTCACCAATACTGAAAAACAAACTGTACACTATCGAGCGAGTTAATAAGGTCAGCTCGGGAACGTGTACTCCAACTCTCAAACTAATACCACGCCAGGGTTTATAGAGTAGTTCGTAGACTCGGTGTCTCACCAATACTGAAAAACAAACTGTACACTATCGAGCGAGTTAATAAGGTCAGGTCGCGCGCGTCCACTCCAACTCTCAACTCATACCAAATCAGGGTTTATCGAGTAGTTCGTAGACTCGGTGTCTCACCAATATTGAAAAACAAACTGTACACTATCGAGCGAGTTAATAAGGTCAGGTCGCGCGTGTCTACTCCAACTCTCAAACTAATACCACGCCAGGGTTTATCGAGTAGTTTGTAGACTGGGCGTCTCACCAATACTCAAAAACAAACTGTACAAGGTAGAGCTTTACTATCGAGCGAGTAATACGGTCAGCTATGGAGCATCCACTGCAACCTTCAATGACGCCAGTGTATATTGAAACATCCGTTGACGCATTTTCTCACAAATTCTTAAAAACAAACTGTACATGGTGAAGCTACACTATCGAGCGAGTTAATAAGGTCAGGCCGGTAGCATTCTCTCGGCCCTCTGACGCCACGCCAGGGTTTATCGAGAAGTTCGTAGACTCGGTGTCTCAACAGTACTTAAAAACACACTTACTACCTTGTAGGTAGAGAGCTACACTATCCAGCTAGTTAAAAAGGTCAGTTCGGGAGCGTCCACTTCAACCCTCAATCTGACGCCAAATCTCAGGGTTTGTCAGTTTCTCACAAATACTTAAAAACAAACTGTACAATGTACATGGTAAAGCTACACTATCGAGCGAGTTAATAAGGTCAAGCCTCTCGGCCCTCAATCTGTAGGGATCAAAGCGCGTGCCGAGACGGGAGATGGGACGCTAGCAGCGCTCCAACAATTTAACTGTGTAAACAATCGTGCTTTCTTGTTCATTGCACTTCATTGCTTTTATACGCTTCGTGTTCATTTCGCTTGTGTAAATGAAAGTGAACGCTGTAATTCAAGGTTCAGAACTAATTGTACATTTTTCTTTGTAAACATGCTATACAAATACTTGGATGTAATGACTCTGTCCGCATAATCAAGGTTTCCATAGAGTGCCACATGCCTTTACATCTTACCCATAAATGAATAGAGAGGAGGAGGAGAAATGAGGAGGGATGACGAGCATTTAACAAAGAAAGTAATGAACATGAATGTGGATGAACGCAGAAGAAGAGAAAGGACTAAAAAAGTTAGGATGGATTGTATAAAAGACGATATGAAAAATAAAAGCGTAAGTGAGGATTTGACTGCTGATAGAGATGAATGGAAGAAAAAGACATGTTGCGCCGACCCTAAATAAATTAGGATAAGGGCAGGCAGATGATGATGATATGAGTAGAGAGAGAAAATGTTAAAACAAGCTCTCATTAGAAATATTTCTATTGTTTTCTTATTGCGTAGTTGCCTGGAAGATATCTCTATCTCTACATTAGCAACAAGACATTCAATTTACAATTCTTTGAATATTCATTCATCTTGCTGTAATGAAATGAAGTATCTATATTTTAT